TCCCGGACCAAACACCAGAAGAGTTCTGCTGAACACCAGCGGCTACTGAGCTTGCTCCAGAGGGGCTTGGTAATAGCTGAGCAGAGCTTTCGAAGACTATTCGCGGTTGGCAACATGCTTTCCTTCTTTGTGCAGGAATTTTTTGAAAACACTGTACTGTAAAATTACAAGCATGTAGACACAGACACGTGTAATACAGTGCAGCCCAGATGCCTGTCTCAGCTTCTGCGGGTTTTTACTCGGACTCACGCACTGCCTCTCTTCAGTAGGACCTTGAAGCAGATTTGCAGCACCCAGCAGTGCATCTGCAAGTGTTTCAGTGTGTGTATTTTATTTGTGTGTTTGTTTCTTTGTCTTTTTGAGACAGGGACTCACTATGCAACTGAGGCTGGCCTTAAGTCCACTTTGTAGCGCAGGCTGGTCTCGATTTCACTATGATCCTCCTGCCTCAGCCTTCCCAATGCTGGGATTACAGGTGTGCACCACTGTGCCCAGCTGCCTTCACATTTTGAAGAGCAAGGACCTGTCCCTTCGTGCACTGTCCCCAAGTCTGGGGCTGTCTCAGCATATCCTTACAATTTGGTTCAGGCTCTGTAGGCAGGAACCCTCTGTGTGTGTGTGTGTGTGTGTGTATGTGAGAGAGAGAGACAGACGGACAGACAGACAGACAGACAGACAGACAGACAGACAGACTTTGTGTCATATCCTGGCAGGAGGACATGATGTGGCTCTGAGTTTGGTCATTTAAGGTGGCGTGCAAAATTTTTAATGTGTTTTCCTTTATTTAACTGGCACAATTGTGATGTGATTGCCCAGTGCTTTTGCAGCAGTATTTTGACCAGTAGCTGGAAACCCTCCTGGTTTGGAGCCTGGACAGTGCACTGCCTTCCTCAAGGCAGCCTGGGCTTCTCAGGTGTCCCAGGGATGAGGCCTCTGAGCAGCAGAGAGGGAAAAGCACTTGAAAATACCGTGTATAGTAGTTGGGTTTTCAGAGGGCAAATAGGCGAGTCGTCCTCTAGACTCCACGATGTGTGCATTTCTATGCCGGCTTTCTCTGGGAGGTGCTGAGATGTTGAAATTAAGGCAGCCTTTTTATCTGTTTCTCCACAGTACCCTCTTCCTCCTGGCTGCTGCGGGGTGCCTTCCCTTCAACGATCCTCAGGTAAGTCCTGGGGCACACAGTGGCTGCTGCACTGCGCATGTGCAGTTCTCCAGGCCTCTTTGGAGTCACTCATCCTGCCCATCTGGCTGAGTGTCCTGCAGGTACTCCATGAGGTCCTGGAGACCTGCCTGCCTGGCGGCCCTGTGCCGACTCCTCAGTAGCCGGCCTTGGGGCTGAGCCCCTGTCATTTTCCCTGGGTTCCTGGAGACCTCTTCTGGGGCGTGACTGTCATATTATTGCCCCGCGCCTAGGAGGAGGGTCTCTAGGTTAGTAACCTCCCCACCCTGGTTGAGCTTTAGATTAGGCCTTTCTTTTCTCCCTCCGTCTTTCTCTCCCAGCATCCTGAAGTCACCTGAGTGTCAGGCACCGGGCCAGGCTCTGAGGGCACAGAGATCAGTCCTTGCACTGGCACAAGTTGGCATCTATTTAGAGTGGTGGGCAGGAAACAGACAGGTCAGTCAGCAGATCATCACCCCGGGGAGGTCAGGGCCTGTGCAGGGTGACCGGGGAAGCAGGCGCAGCCAACAATTGCAGGAATCCTGCTGCGGGCTGGGCTCTTTGCCAGTGCTTTATGTGTCCTATTTTATTTAAACTCTCACAAGACTCCGTAAGGGCAGAGATCCATTTGAACTATTATTATCTCCATTCCATAGCTGAAAAATAGGGAGGCCCTCAAGGTCACCAGCTGAAGAAAAAGTGAGGATTTGAGGATGTGACCTAGAGTCATTTACTGGACCCACATCCAGGAGAGTAAGCAGGAGCAGGCTACGGGAAGAGAGGAAGCAAGACTGACATTATGGAAGGGTCGCAGCTATTCTGGGATTTGGTTTAATTGAGCACCTACTTAGCATCTACCGTGTTCTAGTTCCTGCTTGCCTGGACTTTAGGGTGTGTCAGGTGATATTCGGTCCTGTGGAGAGACAGGAAGAGGAGTCCTTCCAGCCAAGTTGCAGGGCAAAGCCTCACGCTTAGGGAAATCTGGGTCACCCTTGCTTTGGGGTTCGGGGCTGTGGGTGCACCTGGTGGGGCTGGTGGGGGCTGTTATCGAGGTCCTTGGGGGTATGAGTTTGCATTTGGGGTTTTTCTGAGGTTTTAATTTTTACAATTTTTCTTAGCGCACATTTGTAGTTCACAGTTTCCTTCAGGGTGGGGAGTTATTACCTGGACAGGACGCTCGTAATTCCTCTTGCACCCCTTCCCCTCCGCTCCTCCCGCCCTGCGTCTCCTGGTTCCTTCCCCTTCTGCAAAGCTGTCTTCCCGCTAGGAGTCTGAGTTTGAATGCAGCGTGGTGGCAGGGTGGGGTCCAGGGGGCTGAGCCTGGGAGTGCTGACTCAAGCCCTGGCATTGCTCAGCGAGGAGCCGGCAGCAGACCCTGCATGTCTGTCCTTAGAGCCATTTTTTAAAATCCATTTTTTCTTTTTTTTAATCTTGTGTTGCAGTTTGATCCAGAGGGATATTTTTGGGCTGTAATTCACCTGTTCTGTGTAGGTAAGTTTGGAAAGAATGCTTACCTAAGAAATTGAGGTTTGTCATTTAGTCCTTAGTCTAGATTCCCTTTGTAGTAACCTGCTAAGCTGTAGAAAACCTAAAACAAGGTGGCAAAATTAAATGAAAATGGGTGTTGTCTGGGTTAGCTTTCCTGTTGTGGCGCTTTTCTTCAGCTGTTTCCATTTCCAGTATAATTTCCTCTTTTCCATGGTGGATGTTAGCCTGTCCCAGCCTGCTTGTAGAATGGAGTGTGTCCAGGTTGTGTCAGAAACTTCCTTTTGGTAGTCTGTCCCCTCAAATTCAAAATGTAGTTGTTGAAGTCAGAGGAGCATCTAATGTTACTTGAAGTCACACGGACAGTGTCTGTTGTCCATAGTCTCGGGGAAGAAGGACACACTGCCTGGTTAATGCAGGGCAGACCTGTTCTGACTGCGGCATTCCTCTGGCCAGGGTGCGTACTCACAGGAGAGAAGGTCCTGTTGGTGGAAGCCACCTGCTCTATCTGGCTGTCTGGCCTGGCCCAGCCTCTGCAGGCCTTGTCCTGGGGGACCACTGGATTCATGGCCTTAGGCCCTCAGTGCTGTGGTCCTGTGTCCGGGGGGCATGCCCACCTGGGGAGAGGGGTCAGCTACTCTCTTTCGAGGGCAGGCTGCTCTTCAGCAGGTCATGTGCTGCTTCTTTGCAGGGGCTTATAGGATAGTGCGGAAGGCCCAGAACCTCAGCGTGTTAAGGTAAGTGTTGAATGCTTGAGGGTGGTTGGGCAGTTAAAGGAAAAGGGTGAGGTCTATGTGACTCAGGCCGGGTGGTGGCAGAGTGTCTGCATGATGTAAGCCACCTTGCTGCTGGGCCACTTCCAGCATGGTCACAGCCTTAGGCCGCTTATGCCTGGAGCCTCAGCCCCTTCCTGCAGGGTAGCAACCCAGAGGAGATTGTCCTGACTTGCATGTGGTCAGCTGCTGGGGGCCCCAGCTGGCTACCTCCACTCAGAGGGACTTGACTCAGTTTACACTCAGGAGTCTCCCCAGTTTCTAGCTTGTTCTTGGGTAGAATGAAGCCTTCACCTCGAGCAGTCAGTGGAGACACCATAGCACAGGTAGATGAGAAAAGATGACGATTATGGCACTGCTGAGCTGCAGCTGGGGGGTCAGGCCCGAGGCTGGCCTGTGGGAGTTGGGGCTGCCCGAAGGCCTACAGAGGAAAGGCCGCGCACCCTGAGAACCCATGATGTTCACTCCTTAAAGCTGAAAATTTTTTTAGATAATTTTTTTCAGTATTGGATTTGGAACCCAGGGCCTTTACACTGAGCTATATCCCCAGACCTTTTAAAAATTTTTTGAGACAGGGTCTTCCTAAGTCACTGAATTGCCCATTCGGCTTGAATTTGAGGTCCTCCTGAGAATATAGAGGTATGCCACCACACCCGGATTCCCTTGTTCTTTTTTTTTTTTTTTTTTAAATGTGTTTAGTACAGGGTCTACAGGGTCTCACCATGCAGATCAGACTCATAGCGATCCTGTTTTCAGTCTCCCAAGTGATTACAGGCGCGCACCACTATACCCAGTCCCAATTGCCATTTCAGCATGCGCCAGGGGCTGGGCTGGCAGGAGGGATCACCCTGCTTCCTGCATCTGCCTAAGCTTTCTTTGAATAAAGTATTTTTGCATGAAGAAACCACGAGAGTTGCCTAAAATACAAGATGCCCAGTTAATTGTGGGTTTCAGATAAGCAGCAAATAATTCTCTCACTTTATGTCCTGTGTGATATTTGAAACTCTACACCTTGTCTGCAATTCAAGTTTATTTGAGTTGGCCTGTATTTCAATTTGTTAAATGTGGTCACTTTGGAGGCCAGTCTCATGGCCCGAGATTGACAGTCCTTTGAAAGTGGCCACTGGGAAGCAGTTGGCCACAGGTGAAAGTGTGTGCGGTGTGTTAAATAAGCACAGTGGCTCTGGAGAAGCTGACCAGGATACATTATTATGTGTAAGTTTAATACAATTTTAGAAATAAAAAAGAAACTTCTAAAATTTCTTCTTGACTTTTTAAAAACGTAGAGCTATTTTGAATATGAAATATGCTTCTTCCTATTTATTGTAATTGATAAATTATTTATTAATTTATTTATAATAAACTCTACCTAAATAAGTAATGTATATAGGTAGAGTTCATGGATAATGACTGTGTATTTAAGAATTACTTCTGTTATTTCATCTCTTATATTTTTCTTTCTTGTTCCTTAGTGATACTGAGCAGCAGTATATGAACTATATATTCAGGTAAAAAATAATTTATGCTTTTATTTATTTTACTTTTTCAGGGGACCAGGGTCTCACTATGTGGTTCAGACTCATAGTCATCCTCCTGTCTAAGCCTCCCCAGCACTGGTATTATAGGTGTGCACCACCATGCCTGGTTTCAGAGCTGGCGTGACATGCAGTACTGTGGAATCAAACCCAGTTCCTGGCGCTTGCCAGGCAGGTGCTTTGACTGCTGAGCTGTCTCCCCAGTCCTTATCTTTTTTTTTTTTTTTTTTTTTTTTTTGTGGAACCGAGGATTGAACTCAGACCCCTGAGCTTGCCAGGGAAGCATTTATTCTACTGAGTCATATCCCCGGACCCCTCACCAATCCTTATCTTATTGTTCTTGAGACAGGGTCTTGCTGTGTAGCTCAGGCTGGCCTCGAGTTCACTGTGTAGCCCAAGCTGGTCTCAAGCTCCCAGCAATTCTTCTGCCTCTGCTTTCTGAGTGTGGATTACAGGCGTGTACCACCACATTCAGTTTAATTTATGCTTTTGAAGAGCACAGCTAAAAAGACAATCTAGGGCTAATGAATTTTTATTTTCCAATAATATGGTAAGAGTTCCAAGCAATGAGGCCCACTGAGAAAGCGGGTGAGATACTCTGAGATGAGCAGAGTTGAGGAAGCAAAGAGTGCAGCCTCAGACGAGGCCACACCTGTGCCCCTGCAGGGTCAGGGATGCCCCTGCAGTCCTGCACAGTGGCCTTGAGTCCCAGTGCAGATCTCCAAGGGTTGTTTCCCAGATAGACCCTATGGGCGCAGAAGAGCTGCCACTGCTGGGCGGGCTGAGACAGAGGTGGCCTCCAGGCTGAGATGTCCACACACCTACCTGTGTGACACTCACTCTCCGTGTGCAGGGCTGGGCCTGAGAAGAAAGAGCAGGTCTCCCCACATGCTGCTTCAGCCATGAACCCCAAACGGTTCCCAAACTCAAACTTCTAATCTAGATTTCAAGGTGTTTTCAAGGGATGTTTGCCAAGATACAATCAAGTTTGAAGCTTGACTTATAGCTTATAATCAAGTTTGAAGCTTGACTGTATAACTTAAAATTTGTAACACATTAAAATGAATATTACTGAACAACAAACAGAGGAATTGTGACAAACAAATGAAATTATTTTGAAGATTAAAAACATGGATTAAAAGTGTGGGCATAGCACTATTTTTGTTTTCATTTAAGCCAACTATACGTTATATGCTGAGAAGTTATTTAGACAAGACACATGGTTTACATTTTAGACTTTATAAGGATTCCAGAACAGAAAATATAACAATTTTTCTACTTTAAAATTATTATATATAGTTATCTGAAGTACAACATATATAAAACAAAACAGCTTCAGCAGCACAAACATTAGGTGAGCTGTTTAGTTTTTAACGGTTGTGGTAGAGCCAGTTTTCCTCATTACCTACCTATGGGGATTTAGCACACCTGTTCTTGTTTATTTTTTTGAGACAGGGTCTCACTGTATACCATCATTAAACTGGCCTTGAACATGCAGTGATCCTCCTGACTCAGCCTCCTAAATGCTGGTACTGCAGGCATGCCCCACTATGCTCTACATGAGTATGGTTTTTGAGTACAACCAAGAATGTAGATTTGATAAAGAATGTACATACACACATGATGTTTGACTGTATAACTTATAATTTGTACACATTAAAATGAATTTTACTGCACGACAAACAGGAATTGTGACGAATGAAATTATTTTTAAGATTAAAAACATGGGTTAAATGTAGATTTGATAAACATGTGTATATACATGTGTATATATAATTATATATATAATGTATATGTATATATTTTCAGTCAAGCATTCAAGATAAAAGGACATTTAAGACTAGGAAAATTTATTGCTGCAAAGGAATGGGGACTAGGAATGGGGAACAGAACTAGCTCCTGAGAGCCAGGAGTCCCAAATGGGTTGTCCAAGGGCTGACTTTTAATCAAAACTTAAAAAATGAATTCTGAAAATATATTTAAAAATATCCTCCTGGCCACGGTCAGCACATTTCTTTCCGCCCCCAGAAGCAAGCCCGGAGTCCCAGTGCCCCCAGCTTCCGCCCGCCTCCCGGGGGCGCGGTGCCCGCCACCCTACGCCGTGTGCCTGGCCGAGCCCTGTCCGGGTGGCCCCTCAGCGTCCCCTCGCCCACTGCACACCCCTGAGTCCTGGGCGGTGCGGCTCTGCCCTGCGCTGCCCCTCCCGGCGTCTGCGTTCTGCGCGCTGTGCACGCAGAGCCTCTCCCGGCTTCTGATTCCGTCTCCCAGCACGACCCTCATGTTGCCGCCTTGTCTAGCGCCCAGGACCTTGAGCTGCCCGCCCGTTAGGAGCCTCCCATCTCTGTGCAGGCCCCCGTTTGTCCTTCCTTCCCCCGCCTCATGTCTTCCTCCTCTGCGCCTCTCGCGATCATCTCCTCGTCTTCTGAGGAAGAGCCCTGCCTGTACCCTTTGGGCACTATTTCATGCCTTCCCTACTCTGGGAAGCAGCGTCCCGCCCCCCTTCTCCACGGGAGGTGGGAGAACGTGTTCCCCTGCGTGTCCCTTCCTCTTGGTCACCGCGGGGCCTTTGCTCCGGATGGGCTTCTCACCGCTGCATTCGGAAACACCCTGTGCACCAGCCGCTTGGGTTAATGGCCTCCTATGAAGTCCACTCGGGTCCACCTCGCCCTCTGCTCAGTTACGCTGAAGTGCTTTCTGATTCTTCCTCTTTAGCTTTTTCTTGCAGTTACTTATTTATTTTTTAAAGCAGGTATCATAAATGCCCTTTTTCATCAAATTCTACTTTTTCCATTTTTCCTTCTTATTCTTTCTTTCTATTTTCTCCTGATCTTATGACTTTCAGTGAAAATACTGTGGGTTTCAGTGTTTTCGGGATTTCTTTCCTGCCTTTTTCTGCCCCTCATCTTAAGTACTGTCATAGTCACCCTCAGTGGCGTCTTTAGCAAGGGCCTTCTGAATTTCCAGTTTGATGTGGGGGAAGTTTAACTTTATTAGTGCCTTAATTTTCTTACCTAAAAAAGCGAAGGTAGCTGGGTGTGCTGGCCTACCAGGGAATCCCAGCTCTGTGGAGCCGAGGCAGGAGGATCACAAGTTCAAGGTCAGCCTGGGCATCAAGTGGGACGTTTCATGGCCTGTTTCTTGGTTGCTTCCTTCTGAAGGGCCTCCTGCCCAGAGGTCTTGCTGTCATATTGCCATCATCACAGTCATCCCCGGAGACTGACGGTTTTTGCAAAACAGCGTACATGCGCTGTTGTTTTTTTTGGCATAGTAAGCCCATACTTCGGTCTGGAATCCCCGTCTTGGTCCCACCTCTGCTAAGTGTGGCCTGTTTACAGCCTTTAAATACAACATATGGGGGCCAGCAAGATAGCTCAGTGGACTGAAGCGTCTGCTTAGGGAAGCTTAGGCAAGTGCAGGGACCGTGGTTCCATCTCCGGCACCACATGCCACACCAGGGCAGGCTGGGCTGGCCACGGAGTCTGGGCGTAGTGGCGTATGCCTGTAATCCCAGCGCTGGGGAGGCTGAAAATCAGGAAAATCAGCATGAGTCTGAGCTGCGTAGTGAGGCCCTGTAATAACCAAATACATTAATACATACAGACAACATACGGAATTCTCTAAACAGAAGAGCCAAGATTGACTTTGGGTGTCAGTAGCCCCCAGCTGTGCACTGCAGGAGAAGCAAGGTTCACTGCTGGGAATCCCAGGTCCCCTCATTGCTAAAGAGTACCCAGGTCAGTGCAGGCCTCTGCGCCCAGTGGTGCTGATTCTGGAGGAAGTCCCCAGACCGAGACTGTGCACCATGAGCCGAACTCTCCATATACAGAGAAAGCTTGTAAATATTTAGCATTTATTACCACACCTTTTAAAAAATGCAAGACACCCCAAGCATGGCCTTGGCCACCTGTGTTCTCAGCAGAAAACAATTAGTTCTACTCTGCTCAGACCCACTAGCTATTTTTCTAGGGCTTCTCTGAAAATACAGAAGCTGTTGGGTGCTTAATGTGTTTCCAGGGCTGAGGGCCTGCAGCTCCATGATTGGTGGACAGCACTTTCTAACATGCTCAGGACCCCCCAAACAACAAAAACCCTTGCTGCACAAAAACACGTTCCTCACACGTCAGGCCTTGTTAGGCAGTTCTGCACAGAAGGTACAGCCGCATCACACACGGAAGAATAGCAAAGGGGCCCTGCCACCCTCAGCCCTCGCCTATCTTCGTCCTGCACCTGATGTGAGGATTATTTCTAATGCACCACACGGGAGCCTGGTGCTCTCACTTCCTGCCTGGGGCTGCTACAGGTCTGAAGGATAAAGAGGCATGAGTCAGGACGAGGCCTCCCTTCCACTTCCCATTGGCACCCGCTGCTGCTGGAGCCAGCACCCAGAGATCCGCGCTCTGCTGGGCTTTAGTGCTGTCCTGTCGGGGTAGCCTGTGCCACTGCCTGCTGGGCGAGGAGCCACTTTGAGCTGTCAGTATTTGGAGATGAGCAGTGTGTAGTGGGCTGGGCCTTGCCTTTGGCAGAACCTTCTGGACCATTTAGTTTGCTCTCTGGTGCTGGCTTTTTCTAATGTCTCTAATGTAAATAGAGGACTAGGGCTCAGGTTGGGAGAAAAAAATGAAAAAAAGAAAAGGAAGGGTATGGGGGGCAGAAAATGAGTGGAGCTTCTGTGACTGAAATGGCTTTGATCTGCATTTGGGTGTTTGGATAATTTATAAGGTAGGAAATCAGCACAGGCACTTGTAGCACCATTTCTTTTTAATAAGAGGCAGACTTGGGTCTCAGCCTGTTAAACAGAAGATTAGCAAAGTGCTGCTTGTTCACTCTGCACCTGCTTACTTTGCAGCTAAGAGTCTGTGTCCATGTGACAGGGAAGTAGGCAGGTATTCCCTCTGAGTGTGACTTCTTAAAACCGAAAAAAATGTACTGGAGCTGAGCAAGTGGAGATGCCAGCATCTTTGTGCTTTCCCATTGTGTTTCCTGAGGCCAGAGTGGCATCTTCTATTTTGCTTGTTCTGTCCTGGCAGATATTAAAACAGTGCCTGACAGATACTAGGGACTCAAATGTTTACTGAATGAATGAATTTAAAAAACATCTGCTGTTTTTCAGCTTGGTATACCTCTTAGTAGCATAACTTCCTCATTAGAGTTTGCATGTAATTTATAACCTTAGAATGACAGGGAGCCTCAAGCTATATTTTTTCTTCCAAACGTTTTTCCCACCACACATACACCCAGAGGTGACGCACTGCGTTAGAGCACAGATTGAGCCCCTGCTGCGTGCCCAACACTGCTTGGCACGTGGAACCCGGAGAGGAGCGCGGTGTGGTGCTTGCTCCCAAGGAGACCAGCGAGGAGGAATGAGGAGTGGGCCAAATGATACTGAGAGCCGCTAGCCAGGCATGGTGGGGCGCGCCTGTAATCCCAGCACTCGGAGGCTGAGGCCGGGGTGGCTGGAGCACCACTGTGAGTTCCAGGCCAGCCCGAACTACGCACAACCAACCAACCAACCAACCAACCAACAAGTAGACTTGCAAAATTCCAAATAGGGCTTAGAGAACCCGGTCTTTGATTTCATCTCATTGCTCCTCCAATTTTAATTTTAGGGTCACCCTTTGGAGTGATCCTGATGAGGGATTCGGGGGCTGTTGCAGGTGGAGAGCAAGTGCTCCTCCTATTCTGTGATAAGAGCAGTAGCTTCTGCTCTGATGTTGTAGTGAAAAGAACCAGGAGTTAAGCCTGGAGACCTACAGGTTGTATACTCCAGCAAAAGCAAATGGCAGAAGGTCCAACTGCAGTTTTCAATCTTGTGTGGGCTGTTTTGTTGCCCTTTTAAAGACTGAGTCTCACTGTGTAGACAAGGCTGGCCTCGAACTCACGGAGATCTTCCCACCGCAGCCTCCTGAGCGCTAGGATTACTGCCATGTGGTGCCATGTATGGCTCTGTGAAATTCGTTTCACAGTGAAAATATACTTAGATGCTTTCAGACTGTGACTGATTTGTAATTTGCCTCTTGGTACATGAGGTGAGTGTGAAAATAGGGTCAGCTAGGGCCAAGAAAAGTGGCACAGCTGACCTGCAGGTGGGACACAGACCCTCAGTTTGTCCCAAGGCTGGATTTAGACCTTTTGCCAAAATCTCTCACTCTCTGGAATTGGGTTTGGGCAAGGTGGGGCTGGCTATTGTGGGTAATTTGCTTTTAGGCGAATTTAACTATTCCCAAGTAGAAAGGCTAACCCTTTATTTTTATGTTGTTTGATTTTTTGGTACCAGTTCTGAAGAAGCTTTCGTAACTTCTGTGCTGTTCTTTTTCAGTGTGGCATTCCTGGCACTTGCGTCTCACCCCACAGGTAAACTACTCGAGTGTTTGATGTCGTACCACTGCATGTCCATGCCACCAGGCCTGCCTGTAGCTCTGTAGACACCTGGAAGAGAATGTGGTTGCCCCCGGATGTCAGGGAGGGGGTGGGAGCGGCTCTGTAGTTGCAGTGCTTTTGATAACCCACTAGAGCAGGCTGAGCTGCAGCTCAGTGGAGTGAGAGGCCTTGGGCTCCATCCCTAGGACCATCAGAAACTAAAATCGCGAGGAAACATTATGGACTTATTGCCCAGGAACTTAATGCTTACCCTGCCTGAATTTCGATTTCTATGAGTTGTCTGGTGATCTCTACCTCAGAAATATGGAAGTGTCCATTACCTGCTGAGTAAACTAGTGCTTATTTTACTCTTCCAAAATTTCTCCCCCGACTTTTCAAAATTGCTCTGTACTATCAGTACTAAAGACTTTGTTGAAAAAGTTTAAATTCACCTTATTTCTAGCTTATATCATTTTTAGAAATCTTTAAATTATATGTCACCATCCAGCTTTCACAATTCTGGCATACAGTCAGCTTCTAGAACTTATTTTCACAACATCACTGCCTTCATGGCTCCATGGCTGCTTCTTGGATTCAGGAATTACCCACAATGCCCTACTCCTTCATGCTTATTCACTGTGAAAAGCTTTGAAGTCTTGTTAATCCATTTTTTTATTGCTAACAATACCATAGACTTGGTAAATTGTAAAGAAAGGAGGTTTATCTGGGTTCCCAGTCGTGGTCCAAGGTCATGGGGTTCTATATCTGGTGATTTTTTTTTTTTTTTGCTGGCAAATCTGGAGGTGGTACAGGGCAAGAGACAGAGACAGTTGGTCTCTCTCCCTCTTAGAAAGGTGACACTGCCCAGTCTGGGGTCCTTGGCTTGATGGTGACCCTATCTAGTCCTCCAGGTGCCATATTCCAAGTAAGCTTCTACCTTCTCCAGACCCGAAAGTGGGGTCCCATTTCCACTTGAGTTTCTGAAGAGACAAATGGTACCCAAACCATTGCAGAAGCTGAGGCCTGAGGTAAAACAGTTGCATCTGTGTGTGGCGCAGCTGAATGCCCACTTGCCCTGGCCTTGCTCCCTGTGTCGTGGTGGAGTTCAGTGGAGAGAACATTGGTTCAGAAGAACCGGAACTTCTTTGACTTCCTCACTGAGTAGCCTTGAGACCTTTTGAAAAAACAAAACAAAACAAAGATAACATTACATGTTGCCCCTGGGGTGTACAAGGTCAGTCGTAAGCACTCAGCAAAGCCAAGTATGTGGCACATACCTCCAACCTGAGCACTTTGGGAGGCTGAGGCAGGAGGACAGCAAGTTTCAGCCCAGCTGGGGTAAGTTGATGGGGTAGCTAGGTCCTGTTTCAAAGTGAACAATAAAAAGGACTAAGGATATAGCTTAAGGAAAAATCCTTGAATTTAGTTCCCAGTATTGAAAGAAGAAGAAGGGGAAGAGGAAAGAGGAAGAACAGAGAGAGAGGTAACCCGGCAAGTACCACTTCACTGTCCTCCTGTGCCCAGAGCAATGACATCTCTTTCTGTTGGGAGTTTAGCTGTTTCTGACAAGTCTTGCCGTTGGGGAGGTGTAGTGGGAATGCTTCCACAGTGTACCTGCCAAATCTGCCCAGGCCTCCGAAGGGTGGCTTGCACCACCTTTTCTTAACATGGTGTTGCTGTCTTCTTGCCAGCGTGGAATCTCATTCTCTCTCACAGCCCGGGGACATCTCAGCAGCCCGAGATTAGCCATTAAGTGTCCTCTCCATGGTTGTGTGCTAAAAGCCTGGCCTACTGTACAGTGCTGTAGGATGCGTACAGTGAGAAATCCCACACAGGCAAACCATTCACCCAAACCAATTTCCGGTCGCCTGCCCGTCAGCCTGCCTTCAACCGTGTTGCCTGCCCACCTTCTGCAGCCCCCATCCTCCCAGTGAAATGCATGTTTGTCGAAAGCCTCTGGGAAGTTAGCTGCATGTACTGGTTCTCCTGCCTAATGTTAATTTACCCCTGAATTGTTTCCTTTGGACTCGGGCAGATATTTTACCTAGAGAGATCACTTTGCCCTTGAGCTAGGAGATTACACTCATGCACTGGTTACAGTCCTGATTTTCACAGCTGGAAAGAATCTCAGCGATGATCCCAGGTGCCACCAAACTTCACAAGAGGGGAAGTGGGAGCTCAGAGGAGTTCAGTGACATAGCCAAGATGCCTAGCGGGAGAAAATGAGTTTAGGTTTCCTGACCCAGCTGTCAAGTTTTTCTTTTTATTTACTGCTTTTTTTTTTTCTGTGATCTTACACTTTATTATCAAGTACCCCAAGAATATGAATAGTTTCAAATTAATTTAGAAATTCTTATATTTATTTTTGGTGCTTTTCTTGGTTGGGGAGGGGACTTTAACCACTCATTTCCAGGCCTGTTGGCTGCTAGTGTAGTTTATCTACCTCGGTCATTGGCCTCACATTTTACCTGGAGTCAATACAAAACTTTTAGGCCACTGGAAGAGTACCTTAGACACATATTTATTCTCTGGGAACAGAAAGTGGTCAGCAGCCCACGACTGCAGGGTGGATGGACAGAAGGGGGAAGTGCAGTAGGCATCAGTTGCCTTCTGAGGTGCTGAAAATGTGCTAGGATAAAATGGTGGGAGTGGCCGCACACTTGTGAGTTGTACAGTACACGACTTGTGTCTTGATAAAAAATGTAGGAGACAGAAGAAATTGCTGATTTGGGAACCTATTTGGACTTAGTTACACCAGAAGAAGATACTCATAAGGATTAATTTTCTATGAAATCATATTTTTTTAGGGGCTGGGCATGTAGACCTGTGGTACAGCATTTGCCTGGGGTGTGTGAGACCCTGGGTTCCATCCCCAGGACTGATATATAATGAACAAACAAACAAACAAAAAGCAAACCGCGGAACATGGACTTCAGCTCAGCAGCCATTTGCCTCGCATCACTTTTCCTGTGGCTTTGAACCCTTTGGTGTGGTAAACTGTAGGTCTGTGATGGGCAGCCCAGGGACCCACGAGCCAGTAGGGTTCATTCCCCGTGGCCTCCGCAGGCTTCTCCTGAAGGAACCCAGTCTGCACCCGGTGTGTTGCAGTTTCCGCCTCTGCCAGGTGAGGCGCTGGCACTGCAGAGAGCAGGTGTTCAGAGCTGGGCTGAGGAGGCGCCCCCGCGGCCTCTCGGGCTAGTGTGCCTCGGCTCCTGCACAGGCGCTGGGAAGGTGGGCGTGGGATGAGGGGCCCGTGAAGGGCAGTCTTCAAGAGGGAGCCAGATCCTTACAAGTAGACCAGTGCTGAGCCTTGACCTCACACCTGGGTTGTCAGGGTGTCTCAGTTATTTTTTTACTTGTTGGTGGGACGAAGTATCTGATACCCCAAATTAAGGGAGAAAAGGGTTGTTTATCTCAGTTTGTGGAGGTTTTAGTCTACTCAGCTGGTTCCCAGGTAGGGTGGCACATGGCAGAGGGCAGCAGTTCATGATGGCAGCAGAAAATAGCAGAAAGCAAAGGGAAGGGCAGCAGCTGCAGCCTCTATCTAGCCAGCCCCTCTTCCCTCTTTATATTATAGCAGGCTACTCTACAGTAGACATAACTCGCACAGTGTCCGTGCCCTCCTCTTGCACAGGATGAGGATGTTTACGAAGTAAGAATCCTGGCGCCCTGCTGAGTCACTTAGTTAAATTTCTAGACTTCTTAAGTTGACACAGTATATCAGCCAGTGCATGTGGCGTTTGCTCTCGAGGGCCTGAATGGGTGAGGACCGCTGAGGAAAACAGTGAAGCTTCACGATCATGATGTGCCCGTGTTTTGATCAGCCTGAGCCCTCAGGAATTCTCCAGGCCACGTAGAGCTGTGGTCTATATAAACCGCGTCTTCTCTTATCGCCTTTCTCATTTCTGAGACACAGTCCCCAACAACCACCCACAACTTTAAGGAGAGGTTTAATTTGCTCGCGGTGAAAGTCAGCTGTAGGCTTACTCCAGGCGGGAAAGCAGGGCAGTGGGCGATGCCAGAGAAGAAGAGGTGGGGACCAGACGCGACCCCTGAGGCCACACCTCCATGATGGCCAGACACACCCAGAAGCGTGCTGCACCCTTTCAGCCCTTGGGTCGGATCCCGGAGCCAGTCAGGGTGACGCCCCACCCTCACCGGTGCGTCTTCCCTCCTAAGTTACACAGCTCAGAAGCTGAGGTGCATTGTCGCCAAGTGCACTCAGGGGTCGGGAAGAGCTTATGTTTGCTAACGCAGACAATGAAGGCACATGGATTCATGCTCGGTATTTGGTGCAAGAGTAGACAGATGCTTAGATTTGGAAGACTTGGGAGTCAGTTGCCCCAAGCTCCGATGGACCTGGTGGTATTAGCTCGTAGTGGTGATGATAAAGTGCAGTGGATAAAACTGGACCCCTTGCCTTAGAGTTGCTGTGTGTTTACCTTTCTGAGAAAGTTCCAAGTGTTTGTCCATTGGTCACTCCCACCAGCAGTGTGGAAGATTCTGGCATCTCTGTGTCCTCCCCACTGTCAGGTGTGTTGTCTCAGGGGCGCTCTTCTGCTGAGCAATGGGCCCTAGGTGGCTCCTTCATCTGCGCTTCTCTCCTGCACTTCCCTCCTTCCTCTGCGAGAGGACTAGAGAGGAGAGCTTCCTTGTTTCACACCTTTGCCGTGTAGTATCAGGCAGGTCTCTATGGCCTGGGCACTGGATCGGCTCTGGACAGTGGAATCTTCCTGGTCCTTGGTCCTCACAATTCATGCAGAGGCACCAAGGATCTCCGCACCTTGCTTGGGAAGATCCGTTCTTCCCCCTTGGGCTGTTCTGAGCAGTAAAGAAGATAAATTTTTCCTATGTTTAAACTTTACACCTCATATTTGTATGGAGCCCCTAGGCTGTGGCATTCAGGAGAGAATTTGAAGGAACCAGAGGAGCAGGAGGCCTGCAGGAAGCTGAGCCTAGGTGACCTCAATACCTGGGGTACCCTGTGCCTAGGTGTGAACTGAAGCAGGCAGCACTGAGCACTCCCAGCCCTGACTGCTCGCCCAGGCAGTTGCGAAGTCCCGAGTGTGTGCAAGGACATCTCCTTTGTGCTCAAGTCTCAGTGTTGAAGGCGGCAGGACTGGGCCACACTTCTCACCATGGCAGCTCCATGCGCCTGATCTTCAGACTGTGGTCCCCTCCCTCCCTCCCTCCCTCCCTCAGTCAGCACAGTTTGAGCTGGAGCATCAGCCTCAGGTCACTGCCACTGAGCATGGTGCTAGCCCTCCAGGACCTGTTTGGTGAGGTAGCGTGCAGCTACCTGTGAGGCGATGTAGACTCATGGGCCTGTGAGCACCTTTCCAGTGTTTCAGGCCCTATGCTGCGCGCTCATGGGGGTCGCACTGGCCGGCTGCAATGCTGCAGCCTCCTCAGGGCTATTCGTGGCAGAGTCACCATATTGGCTGGCTTTCCTGTTGGTTTGATGCAATACTGGACACCCACAATTTAAAGGAGGAGAGGTCCAATTCAGCTCATGTTTTCGGAGGTTTCGGTCCCTGGTCAGTGAGTCCAAGGAAGAAGTGTTGTAGTGGGAGAGTGGGGAGCAGGGCTGCTTAGTTCTTGGTGTTCGTGCCACAGAGGGCGGGGTAAGGGAACAGATGGAGTCCTCAAGGCTGTGCCTCGTGACCCAGTGACACCTGGAAGGGTGCTTCACTCCTCCCCTGGGTGGCTCCAAGCCCATCCAGTTGGCAGTTAGGCTTACTCATCACAGTCACCAACTCTTGCTGTTTATGGTCTGGTGTGCACCCTAGTGGTACTTCCTCTTTTTGGTTTTGTTTTGTTTTGTTTTTTGAGACAGGGACTCACTATGTAGCCCAGACTGGCCTCGAACTCATAGTGCTCTTTCTGCCTCAGCCTTCCAAGCGCTGGGTGCAGTGCTATTTTAGCACTGACACAGTAGACAGGGGTGAATGTCGTAGCCTTGCTCTCTTAAGAGTTGGCAGTCCTAGGGGATAGGGCGAGAGGCACTAAGTTAACTAGGTATAAAGGTTCTAGGAAAGGCTCAAGGATGAGGGGGTTATGCCCATACTCAGCTGTTTATGGGGTCCATTTTGGAGTTGGTAGGAGTTATGATCTGACTGGCGAATCCCTTAGGGCTCTAGGTTGTTCTTTGCCTTCCTCCCCCCGGGGCACCTCCAACTGGTCCTGTGCTCCTTATGCCTTCCAAAGGCTGGCTGGGCAGTAAAAGCTGCTGGCATCCCTGTGAGTCCTGTTCACCCCCTGCCCGTGCATTTCCACTGAAAGATGGGGTGCCCAGATGAGGTGCAACAGGGTGATCTCAGGGTCCCAGGTCAGTGGGCTGCGCCCTGCCGTTCCTCATTATCACACCAACTCTGCTGCCTTCCATCGTGTTGAGAGGGCGTTTGGGAAAGAGCCAGGAGCCAACCACTGCCCAGACACAGCTGAATTCTTCACAGGCGTCCCTTTTACATGCCTGAGCACCACCCAGCACTCTTCAGGGTCACCCTAGCTGTAACTTCTAAGGGGCAAGAGGCCTCAGAACACATCCATGCTCACTCTGCACTGGAGAGCTGTGACAGAGGGGTCTTTCATGGGTCCTGCTACCATCACAGGCCCTGAGTGGGGGTAGAGGCTTTCAGTGGAATCATGACCCCCAAGAGAACATGAGTGCTGGCCTGCATGAAAATGAGCTCCCAGATACACGCACATACATAGCAGTCACGATAAGAAATAACCTTCCGGAGAAACAGATGGGCGAATCGCCTCAGAGCACTGAAGTCTCCCAGGAGGGGCAGAAGCTGTTGCATCTCACGTCCTGAATGCTTGATGCATGGTGCAGCGGTGGGGGGGCGCACTGCCTCTGTGTGCCCACATACCTGATACTCCTGGGGTGCCCAGGGGTACCAGCTTCCTCCACTGGCCTCCAGGACTGGGAGACCAAGGCCAAGATTGGAGTCCCAGGCTCCTGCTGAGTGGCAGAAATTCCCGATTTGGAAGGATTAAGCACTGTGCTGTGGAAACACTTAATTCCTTTTCTCAGGACATTTTTGGAAGGCTTTCTGCTTTTTTAATCTCCTGACTTCTTGTTTGTGACCAAGTTCAAATTCCAGAGAGGGAAGCAGCCAATATGTGTAATTATTTCCTCTTGTACCGAATGGAACTAAAAGAATGATCTTACTTCACAAGAAATCAATGTACCCTTTGGACCTGAAGCTAAAGTGAGCATGCGCAATGGGTCTGGCCCCTGTGCTGTTTGTGCAGTAATTAAGCACAAAAATGAAAAAAGTATGTCCGGGGCATGCATTCATGTGCTTTTTTTAGACAGACTGAGAAAAAGGAAAAATCCTGACTCTGCCCCTCCAATTGTCCCTGGGGCAAGGAGCTGCTGCTGAAGGCCTGGGGTCTTTTGCCTTCGGGTTCCCGACTTAGCAGATCTCTCTTCCCTGAGCTCCAGTTTAAATGCAGACAACAGAGCCTCACAGAGTTCTGAAGCGCATAGGAGATAAAGGCATAAGGCTTTTAGCAAAGGCCCCTGCACACGGCTTGCCGTCACCAAAGGCATTATTGTCTGTGTTTGCTCATATTAGACAGCACTGCCAACACCAGCATCCCTAGGGAACCCAGACGGACAGCTCTGGGCCTTGGTGGGGGGCTGCTCTGCCGCCAGCCCTCACCTTGGTTTCTCAGGATGGTGGACGGGGGAGATATGGAGGGCAGAGGGACCATTGTCACACCATGCCTGTGCTTCACAGGTGACCTCGCCAACGTCCCGGACTTCCCATTCCTGTATTTCTACAGATTTCACGGCAGCTGCTGTGCCAGGTAACCTTGGGCGCCCTGGTTCCAGTGTCTTTCTGTGTCTCTGTCTCTCTGAAGCCCACTGTCTGTGCCATGACCTGAATGAATGGCAGAAGCCAGCAGTGGGGGTACAGCTGGAAGCAGCACCTTCGGTCCCCAGCAGGTTGTCACTTATACCTACAGGTATTTCAGGGTCAGCCTGGGTACAGGGAGGACCCTGGGCCTGCACATAGACAGTGGTCTTCAAACTTGGTAGCTTCCCCCAATTCTCTTTTGTCCACAAGCAAATCTCACACAGAACTTCTGTGTATAAAAATGATGAAACCAAGCCAGGTGTGGTAGCGCGAGCCTACAGCTCCCTGCACTCAGGAGGCAGATTTGCTTGCCCCTTAGCTGGGATTCTACAGCGTGAGTCTTCGCACTGTTCTGGGCCTGGCTGTTTCCCTTAGAGTGTGACTGTTTGGTGGCACAAACAGCAGGTAAGGAGGGAAGGTCGACAGGAGACATTCACAGCTCACTGTGTTGGCTTTGTGCATTGAGATGGTGATATTGGGGCTTTCTTTACACCCCTCTTAATGAGCAGCTTTCTCATAAGCCATAATGATAAGCCAGGTCTTTTTACCCTGAGGATCTGGCCATCTTGCTTGAATTGGTTTAACTGTCCTGTTACATGTTACCCCGCCTCTGACTTCTTGCACAGTTGTGCAGGTGGTGGACTGGGTGTGACTTTTGTTTGAAACTGAAAATGGAAAAATAAGTGATGGAGAACGTTCAGTTTTCCCACATCACTTCAGTGGCTCCTCCATGGCCATATTGCTGAGAGTTGTCACCTTCAGGAGGTCTTAGAGGAGCCCAGCAGGGGTCATGAAGACCTGAGGGGACAGGATATCTAGGGATTGGTGTCTCCTGTTTCCAGGCTCCTTGCTTCAGGGGTCCCACCTCTGCTTTTCAGGTCCGCTTCCCTAGCAGGGGTGGAAGAGCTGAAAGCAGAGGGAGAAAGATGAGGGGTCTGTGAGTGATGTAGAAATGTTTCTTTCTTTTTTTTTGCGGAATCAGGGATTGAACTCAGGCCCTTGCGCTTGCCAGGGAAGCGCTTGTTCCACTGAGCCATCTCCCCGTCCCCTGTAGAAATGTTTCATACCGACAAGTCCAACAATGAGCATGTCCATCTCCAACCTGAAGTAGCATCTCTCTGGGGTTGGCCCTATGGGGACAGGACACCCTTGCCTTTCCTGTGGCAGGAGGAGAAGTGGGGAGGACAGGACCAGAGGGCATGGAAGTATCTGAGGCTGGTCACCTCATCGGATGCAGGGGTGGAAGCCACCAAAGAGGAGCCTGGGCACTGCTACCTCACCCTCCACCCTGCCCTCAAGGCTGGGAGCAGCCAGAGCATGCATGTGACTCTAGCTGGTCAGGGACACGTGACCTTGGGGAGGTTTCAAGAGCCATGAAAACCTGGCTTCTCACTATACCTGGGCCTCAGTTTCCTTGGTTAAAAAAAAAAAAAGGAAAACTTTGGGGCTAAGTCTCTGGGTCCCATAAGACAGGGTAGGGACTGTTCTGCTTACCCCTACTTTAAGAACATCATGTAAGAAGGGAGGTGGGCAGAGATCTGGCCAAGCTCATAAAGGTGAGCAAGCACAGCTAAGAGTAGGACTCAAGGCAGCTGGATCTGTTCAGTGTGCAGAGCATTGACACCTCTGGCACTGATCCCATGGTGATACCTTGGAGAGCGTCTGCAGCCCTGGCCACCGTGGCGTGATGCCCTTGCTGTTCATGACCTCTTGGTGGCCGCAGGGTGCTGCCCCTATGTGCTTCTGCTGGCAGGCTCTGCCTTCCAGGAAGGTGCTTGGCATCAGCTCCACAGTGAGGCTTCTGCCAGGCATGCTGGTGCACACCTGTAATCCCAGCACCAGGAGGCTGAGGCAGAAGGATCTCTGTGAGTTCAAAGCCAATATGTGCTACATAGTGAGACCTTGTCTCAAGAAAACCCAAAACAAAACAAAAATGAGGCTTCTGTGGAGGTGGGCCTGGAGTGGGGACTTGTGGTGTCAGCCAGTGTTGCTGGAACCAGCCCTCCCTTCAGATCGTTTGCATGGGTCCAGGGCTCTGTCCAGACCTTTTCTGTCACATAGAGAGCTGGAAACCATACTAGCCACTTTGTTTTGTTTAAATGAAATTGAGGTCCTTCCTTGACAAGCAGCATGCTCTAGAGCTCATACAGGAAGGAGCAGGGGGCATTGTCTGTATGTTTTGTCTTTTTATGAGTTAGTGAGAGACATCTTAAATTTCCACATCGCACCTGGCAATGAAGTGTGCTCATCCTGGCTCCTTAGCAAGGAAAGCTTCATGGGTTTCGGAGTCTTGGCTATTTTTACCCAGAGATGACTAGGAAATAGGTGTGATGAGGTTACGTCATCATGAGAACTTGACTGGGAAAATGGAACCAAAACTGCTGAGCTGATGACTAAGGAAGACCGCCTCACTAAGTGAAAACGCCTTCTCCTTCCAGTGGGGTCCTTGGCTTCCTGCTCATGCTCAGCACGGTGAAGCTGCAGAGTGTCATGGCCCCGGGGCAGTGTGCAGCCTGGATCTTCTTGGCCCAGGTAAGAGAGGGCGGGCAGGTGAGGGCTTTATCTTGGGCCGTGTGTGGTGTCTTCAGACCTGCAGTCAGATGGTTGGATCCTCAGGAAGCCGTTCCTAGTCACCTGCCTTTGGCCTGATCCTTCACCTAACCCAGGAAACAGTTTCCAAGGCCTTCTCCCTATTTAATCACCATTCGTATTTCATGCTGTCACACTGCCTGAAGGTGACTATGGCTAGGGCCCTTAACTTTCATGAGCCTTAATTCACTTGTCTAAAAATGAGAGGTTTGGCTAAAAGATCCTTCAGCCTTCTGCAGCCCTAGGAACTGGAATCCCAGGTACCCAGGGCCATTCCTTTTCTTCTCTGGCAGAGAGGGTATCCAGGGCTCAAGTGGCTTAGACAATAGAACTCAGCCTGGCTGGGGTGATGGAGGAAGGAAAATCACAGAAATGTTCAGGTTGAAAGGCTTAGAGGAAGCCCTCAGAGGAGAGGGCTTCCTCTCCTCTGAGGGGCAAGAATGGTCACTGTGCACCTGAATGACCATGGCTGACCATAGCCAAGAAAATGTGGTGGAACTGTGAAGGGATAGGAGCGGACTGACAGCGACAGGAGGCGCTATTGGAGTGAAGTGCGCGGGACACCTCTGTCTGCTGACAGGATTTGTTTCCCTGGCATCTGTCTTTTGGGTCACCTCGGAGAAGGTCCAGAGCCTGAGGTACTACTTCTGAGGAGTGAGATTTCCCAGTCAATTTTATCTAATGAAATAGTCGTTGAATTTGTGCCTTCACTCTTTTTGGGGAGTGGGGCTCTAGTTTTATTCCCCAGGGGAGGAAAAACCTTGTTTTTCTTGGAAACAAGATTCAACAGTGATATTTTCACCTTCCTGGTCACTTTTAGTAGCATGAATAGTTCTGGTTTCAGCAGATTGTAAAAATGCTTGCCATGTTGATTTCTAGCATGAAAGAGTGAGGAGGTTCATAAGTCTCTTCTTCAAAGCCATCTAGAAAGGTGAAAAAAGTCCTTCTGCAGCAACCTCTGGTTCCATACTCTGAAAATTGACTGCAGCCATAAAACAGCCTCAAAAGCAATTGTTCATGGAAACTCCTGCCTGAGGGTGGAGCAGAAAGGGCTTGGGAGTGCTTGCCCTGGGGTCCCATACCCTCCTCCCCTTGCTCTTGAGTGTGAGGGTCCAGCCAGAGCAGGGTGGGCTGTAGAAGCCGCAGCTTTGCCGCTGCTTCCAGCTGGGACTCCTTCATTTGGAAATCATTGGACAGGAGAGGCCAGTTGTCCCACTAGCTGGAGGCTAGAGTCCTCTTTGGATCAAGCAATGGGCCTGTGGGCTTGTTGATGACAGAACAAGTTGTTCTGGGAGGTGAGAAAGACAGGGACTCCCAGCTCTCCCTGACTCCGGGGTTGGTCTCTGTGTACATGCACCTTGCAGATTGAGCAAGGCCAGGACACCCTTGTGTCCCTTCTGGTGGCCCCTGCGTACACACTCACAGGAGATGGGAGAGACCACAGAGAGCCAAGACCAGCAGACATGGACACAGCCTGAGGTTTGCATGCACTCCCCAGCCTACCCTCAGAGTCAAACGCAGGGAGAAGAGGCCTTCCTGGCTCAGGGTGTTTGAGCCAAACCCCGGACTAGTATTTACCAGAATGCGAAGCTATTCAGACACAGGGATGACCCCTAGAATTCAGACTCAGAAATAAAAACAAGGGAAAAAATTAGTACAGATATGAGCAACTATACCATATTTGGAAAACAGATTTCATAAATTTAGTACTAGGAAAATTACTAAGTAAGCAAAACAACAATTTTGGGTCTTGTGAAAAAAATCAGAAACCAGTTGCTGCCATATATCGTCTTAAATGCCCAGTCTAGAACCAAAAATGAGAGACATTCAGAGAAATGGAGTGTGGTCTGTAAGCAGGAAAGGAACAGTCCCTAAAGATCAGCCCCAAATGTCTGTCCACAGATGCAAGAGGTAGCAGAAAGCACTGCAAAATACTTAAATATATTCAGAGACTGGAAGGCAGCCATATTTAAAGAATTAAAGACTCAGTGAATATAGAATTCAATAAAAAGATAGGAATTATGTTTAAAGATAACCAACTATAAAGTAAATGGAAATTCTGGACTCTTAAAATATAATAATTGAAACAAAAGTTCTCTAGAGAGACTCAGCAACAGATTTGAGATAGCAGAAGACAGAGTAAATGAACCAGAGGGTACAACAAAGTAAAGGATTCAGTGTACACAAGAAAGATTTTTTTTAAATTAAAAAAATATGAACAGAGCCTCAGAGCTCTATTCACAGAAGAGAGAAGGATAGCAGTGTGTGGAGCAACCACACCAGAGGAAGAGGAGGGGCAGGTGCTGTAGTGAGAGTTCCTAGGGAAAAAGTGTAACACAGTGCATATCATTTATAGGATTACTTTATAATAGTCACCTAAAGAGTCAAGTGCAGAAGAGTGTGGGGGATCTGTCCAGGCGCTAGAGGCCCAGAGGATCCAGCTGAGGGCCTGGAGCCCAGGGTAGTGTCCTGTGTGAGTCCAGCTGGAGGCCTAGAGCCCACGGCAATGTCTCATGCAAATCTGTGTCACTGGAAAGGCTCAGATGTCAGCAGTGGAAGCTGGAAAGTCTGCGCCAGTGGGATCAATGATCTGTGCCGGCAGGCTGAGGGATCCGCGCTGGAGCCAGGAAGCGATGCTCAAGTAAGGACAGAGCTCCCCTGAAGAGAGCCGCAGCCGTCCTCAGGGAGAGAGAGAGCCTGAGCTCCTCTGGCCAAGAATAACTGAGTTTGTGTCGGGAAAACCTGGGTGACAGGCTTCTCAAAGAGAACGCACAGCACGCCATCCTCCCCTGCAGCTCTGCTTTCATGCTCTTGGTAACAGTCCTGGGGTCCTCCTGCCTAGAGCCACGTGAGTTCAGCTAGTCTTCTGTGCTGACCACTATTAGTAAAGCCCCATAGAGGGATGAAAAAACTACCTGTGTTACAGAACTGAAATAAAAGCACTTTGTCATTAAAAAGAAAGAATGGTGGAGACTCCCACATTTGCTAAAAAACAATAATTATGGATCAGGTAAGCCCAAGGAGCCTCAATAACAAAAGAAAACCTCACCTGTGTAATTTCTAGTAAAACTGCTTAAAAAGAGAAAATCTTAAAAGCACCAAAAAAAAGTGTTTTCCATTGTGAAGGAAAAACGATGGAATTAATGGCAACTTCTCATCAAAGACCATGTCAGTGGAGGCGGTATGAGGATAGATGCTGAAAGAAAAACAGGTCTCCCAAGAATTTGATAAAGAAGTCGGGCACAGTGGCGTATGCTTGTAATCCCAGCACTCGGGAGGGTGAGGCAGGAAGGTTGCTTTGAGCTCAAGATCAGCCTGAACTACATGGTGAGACCCTACCTCAAAAGAAAAAAGAACTTTATATACAGCAAAACTGACTTCAAATGTGAAAGTTAAATATATTTCCAGATCTACAAGGACAGAGATGCATTGCTAGTGGCTATACCAATAATTTCATTCAATGTGAATGGATGAAATAACCCATTCAAAAGGTAGATTATCAGATTGAGTTTTAAAAAGCAAGACTTGATTATATACTGTCTGCAAAAGATGTATCTTAAGTATCAAGATTCAAGGAGACTGAAAGTGAGGATGTGGAAAAGCTGTGGCCTTTGTACGTTACTGGGGGACGTGCATATGGCCGCTTTGCAAAACAGTTTGGTACTTTCTTAAAAGGTTGAACACAAACTGACTATATCCCAGCAAATCTATTCTTGTGGATCTACTCAAAAGAAATGAAACTGTAAGAGCCTTATGCATGGATATTTATAGCAGTATGATTCATAATACCCCCACACTGGAAACAATTTAAATGTGAATTTATTAGCAAGTGGTTAGGCAAGATACATATATCCATACACTGGGATAAGGAATGAGGTATTCATTGCTGTGACAGGTAAATCCCCAAGAGAAGCCAGTCACGCTACACACAGCGTTGCATTTTATGTGAGCTGTCGAAGAAAGACAAATTTATAGAGACAGGCTGTATCCTGATGGTTTCTTGGAACAGAAATTGACTACCCATAGGCTTAAGGGAGTTTTTCTTGGTAATGGAAAGTTCTAAAGCTGGATTGTGGTGGTGACGGTTGCCTAGTCATCTAAATTAATAAAACTGGATCATTAAAATAATTGAACTTTAGGGACTTGGGCTGTAGCTCAGATATAGCATGCTTGCTTACCGTGCACAGGCTCTGGGTTCAGTCCCTAGCACCTCAAGAAAAAAAGAGCCACTGCTTTTACATTTACAGTGGGTGACTTTTATGGCGTGGAAAGTGGCATATGGAATCCAGGGAAGCTGTAAAATATGAGTGCTCTAGGCATCGAGGTTACATCTTGTCCTTTACAATTTGGTGGCATTTTCTACTCTTTACAACCAGTGCTGTGAGTGTGCTTTTTACTTTTTCCCTAAATTCTAAGGAAGGTTCATAAGGTGGAGGATTTTTTAATTGCCTGGCCTGGTTTAACGCTCATTGCTCTTCCACGCGGAGGACTGGTTAGATGAGCTATTAAGGTCCCTTTCAACCATTACTATCTCTTCCAGAGATCAAGCAGTGTCTCTTTCTTTGCTGTGGAAAGTGAGCTCTGTGAACCTGGGTGGCAAAAGATGTGCCCACCTACGTGTGCAAGTGTGCTGACATATGAAAGACAACATGATTGCCCTGGGCCACTCAGCATTTCCCTGATGTCAGAAAGTTACTCAGGAGGATGCTCCATTGGAGTCTGAAAGATTCAGAGATGCAGAAAGGGGACTTGCAGGGCTGAGGGTGCCATCTTCCTCGCGCCCTGAAGACTCATTCACAGGCATTGTGCAAGTCGTCACATCATCTCTAGAGCCCTCAGGTCCTGAGAGGAGGTGTCCCTGACTCTCTCCAGTCCCACCTTTTTCATTCTTTTCTGGCACGGGAATGCCAAGCATGAGGGGGGAGAGTGCCTTCTGAACTATT